TGTATATGGGAGACAGAAACAATGGGAGGACTAATTAGCTAACGAGGAGCAGGTGTGGGAGCTAGGGGAAGAATACTGACACAAGAGGGCAAGAGAGGGTAAACAAGAAATCCATAGAAACTCAAATACACCCAGAAAACACCAGAAAATGGGAATAAAACAAATATTACAAATATTATGATCAACTGTATCAAGTACAGATACAAGTCAATTATCTGAGGCAATGAGAATATTGTCAGTTACTTTTACCAGAGCTGTTTCAGTGCTATGATGAGCTCTAAAGCCAGACTGAATCAGGTCAACTGTAAGGTGCCTCGAGATGACATGTTTTGTGAATTGGCTCTATAGAAATAAACTGAATTGAATTGAATTAAAAGTAGAAAACACAGAAAAACTGAAACTGAAACCTTAAACAGAACCAGAAAGTTCAGAATCACGACAGTCAAGCTAAATTGTAAAGAATGGTAAACAGCTTCTAAGTGGACAGTGTGAAGAACGTCAGGCAATTTTCCTGTTTTCTTTCTCCTTCCCATAATGCTTTGCTGTTTACGGTAAAAATTAAACCGTCTGAAGTTGCTGAAATAATTTTTTTCTCCCAGATTGCTTTGCAGCTTACAGGATGATCCCCATGGAAACAATACAGTAAAATACTGTTAGATTTAACTGTAAATATACATCAAAGGTATACAGTGTAATAAAAACAAAATAAAACAAACAGAAAGGGACATAAGGGGATAATTTTTTACATGTCCAGAGACTTTTTTTCCCTTATAAAAAAAAAAAAGATAACGAAGCGCGAAGAGCTGAGAAAAAAGGAGAAACACCGGAGGAGACGGGAGGGAGGAGCTGAGGATGAGAGAATCTGAGAAAAACAGAGACGGAATCTAAATGTGCAGAAAGAGGTGAAGAATAAGTAGAGAACAGGATCAATAAAGACGACAACAGAAACAATTGCTGCTGATAAACCATCAGCAGGGTTATGACAGAAACAAATAAAACCACCTTAGCAGCAAACTGTCCAGCTGTCTGCATCGGTCCCAGCATAACTGCAGCTCAGAGGGTGGAGAACATTAAAGAACAAGCAGCTCCATGAAGCCAGTAGATGAATCAGATCAGGGAATAATCTCCAAACCTTTGAACATCAGGCATGCCGCTGTAGGGATGCTGCTGGTCATCATCACAATAATCCCACTCAGCTTTTTCGTTCTTTTATGGTTCTTTACACAGATTTAGCTTTTTGACAATTAGAATTATTTAATTTAACTGAACATTCAAACTTAGGAAATGTTTTTGATCATCAGAACATCCTGAGTCTGAAGCCTGAAGGAGACTCCAAACTGACCGAACTGAGAAGAAAGAGTCAGACTTTGTCTGAGCAGAAAGATGTTTCAGAGCGCGCACGGCTGGAGGCACAGAAAGCAGCAGAAGCTTTAGAAGAGCTCTGGAAGGCCGTCCTGCAGACAGCTGAGGACACCCAGCTGAAAGCTGAGCGCCGCTACCTGCTGTCCAGAGAGATGAAGGCCTTCAAGAACCATGCTGGCAGCACTAAGAGCTGGACTGAAGGGCTGCAGGAACAAGCTGATTCTCTGAACGACTGTATGCAGGGCAGTCAGGCCCAGCTGGAGGAAAGGCTGAACACTGCACAGGTAAGAGATACAGAAAAAAATAAAGATGTTCCTGGAAGGAAACCTACCTGCCAGAGGAGGATTAGTCAAACCAGGTTTCCATATCTGGACCTCTGCAGACACAGAAGTCTGTGGTTTATTCTGATTAGTTTCCATCACCACCCTTTGTTCAGGCCATCCTGAGCTCCAAGTCAGCAGGTGAAAGTCAAGTGATGGAGCTGAAGAGACGAGCGCAGGCTCTCTGTGAGCACACAGACATGGAGGAAGACGGGAAGCTGGAGGTTCAGCTGATGGTCCAGGATGTGGAGACACGATGGGGGACCGTTCTGCAGGTCGCTGAGGAGACTCGGAGGTAATAAACAGGTTTTAGAGTCACAGAGGTTTGATCAAGCAGGCTTCACAGATCTCTGTGTTCTGTCTCTTCCTGTGATGATCCACTGATTGTACCTCGTTACCAGAGTCAGTAGTTTTCTACTGAAGTAGAACCTCATATCTGTCAGTTCAATCATTTTGAAATGATTTACTTTGTCAGAAGGAATCCTACACTCTGTAAAGGACCAGAGGCTTGTGGCATGGTTTGTTGGAGCACATTATTTGGGGCATTTGTTAATGCTTGCTTTGCCAGCGTACCAAAGCCAGGAAAGTCAGGAGAGCATTGAGTTAGGAGCAGCACGTTGGAGTGGAAAAGAAGAGAAAAATGTTTTATGGGATTAAATGAACAGAATCAGGCGTACACCTCATCACCCTGGTAGCTTCAGAAACCCCATGAGAGGAAGTTTCTTCTCTGTAGTCTTTCCTTCTGGATCAGAGAAATGCTTCCAACAGCTTCCAACATTACCAATGTAGAGCTCAGCAGTGATCAGAATGTAAACAATTAGGAAAAGAAACCAGTTTAAACAATGAGGCAAAAGGGCAGAGATATGAAAATGTCCAGAGCTGTAAATATGATGCAAAGTCCAGTAGAAACATTGAGTTGTGTTCCATTTAAATTGATTATAAAAGTTCAGCACTTTTGTAGCACAGAATAACCCCTATTTGTTTTTGAATTAAGCAAATAAATGCGATGTGTTCCTTTGTGGAACGGAGGATGTTTGCTCCTTCTTTCTGATCCGAATCGTTTTGTTTTAAGAATTTACTCTGTGAAACATATCAAGACTTTGATACGTCTCAGATTCTACTGCTGCTGTGATTGGCTAAAAAATCAATTGAATTTTTACAGTTGACCCCCCTAAAAGGTGAAGGGACAAGAGCAGAAGAAAAAGGAACTATAGAAACAGGAACTATAGAAACAGGAACTATAGGAACAGGAAAGATCGGAACAAGAAAGATTGGAACAGGAACTATAGGAAGAGGAAAGATAGGAACAGAAACTATAGAAACAGGAACTATAGGAACAGGAAAGATAGAAACAGGAACTATGGGAACAGGAAATATAGGAACAGGAAAGATAGGAACAGGAAAAATAGAAACAGGAACTATAGGAACAGGAACTACCGGAACAGGAAAGATAGGAACAGGAACTATAGGGACAGGAAAGATAGAAACAGGAACTATAGGAACAGGAAAGATAGGAACAAAAAAGTTTGTAACAGGAACTATAGGAACAGGAAAGATAGGAACAGGAACTACAGGGACAGGAAAGATAGGAACAGGAACTATAGGGACAGGAAAGATAGAAACAGGAACTATAGGAACAGGAAAGATAGAAACAGGAACTATAGGAACAGGAACTATACGAACAGGAACTATAGGAACAGGAAAGATAGGAACAGGAACTATAGGAACAGGAACTATAGAAACAGGAACTATAGGAACAGGAACTATAGGAACAGGAAAGATAGAAACAGGAACTATAGGAACAGGAAGTATACAAACAGGAACTATAGGAACGGAGATATAGGAACAATTTATGGGAACAGCAGCTATAACTAAGTTTATTTCAGTTGATGCTGCTTGAAGCTGACCCTAAGATTCTTTAAAGAATCCTGTAAACTAAAGGTTAGAAGGTTAACATTCTTTTTCAGAATAGATTCAAAGATAGAGCAAAACATTAACCAGCTGCTCTTTATTAGAAGATCATTAAACATTTTTAAAAATGTGGTCATAGTTACCAGAGTGACTAACCATAAGAAACCACCAAAACGTGTCAAACTGTACAGATCCAGCAAGATCAGATCAGGAGATCCTGGTCAAAGCTCCTTCTTCCTGTAGACCAATGGGTTCGTCTCACTGTGTGGATTTGTTGGTGAAACTCTGTTCCTGAAGTTGTGAAAGCCTTAAGGTTCTAATTTCCTGCTACATCATGTCTAAATCTGTTTTTCACATTTGTCTACCACCTGCCACCTTATAGCCAGTTGCAGGCTGTTATGGAGAAACTGCTATCTTGCAAGTATGAGAAAGACCATGCTGAGGCCCGTCTGGTAGAGATCCAGAAGCAAACATCCAACCTTCCCCAAGTATTCCCTTGGCCAGGCCTGGGAGAGCGAAGGCAGGCCGTGGACCAGGCCAGGAACCTCCTAGACCAGAGCACAACCTTGGTCCCTGTGCTGTCAGCTGTCCGCTCACAGGTAAACACAGAGAAGTCTTCAGCTAATGAAAACTCTTTCATTCATAAAACTCCAAAGACTCTACCTGACTGTTTGATTAAGGCTGAGGAGCTGTTTGAAATGACAAAGGACCAAAGTTGGACCGATCCTTCTTGGACAGCCTGGGAGGAGGCCATTCCTGCTCTACTGACACAGCTGACCGTGAGTCTGAGCAGGCCATGGCTGTAGAGCTTAACAGCAAGGAATCTGTTTAAGTTAAACAATAAGTATCTGTTTCCAGGATTTGGTGACAAACTTGGAAGAGGGAATTGAAAAGGAGCGACAATGTGCATTGCTCATTGAGCAGCATGAAGCAGCCCAGGACTGGCTGAGGGAGCAGGTCAAAGGCTTGGGACCTCCACCTGCAGACAGACATGGGCTCCACAACGCTGTCAACACCCTGAAGGTTAAACACATCTCTTTTCTTTTGTTTCTGACACTTTGGCTCCTACGTTTTTCCTTTGTGTCCTTTAGGAACTGGCTACATGGTCAGATCATAGACGGTTTGGCCTTTGCTCTAACTTTAGCTCTGTGACACACTACTTTTCCAAATCATGGTGAAAAGTCTGCCTGGGTTAGTAAAAGTTGCTAATGACTGGTTTATGTTATTGATCTTTGGCAGAGTTGGGAGGAAGTTTGCTTCCGTTGATGAGAATTGCTTCCATGGGATCTGTGATTGCACCAGAATCCTGTCCCTCCCACTCCTCACTTATTGAAACTAACCTGGGTTTGCAGACTTTTGCACCCGCCGAGTAGACCTGAGCTAATTGACTCATTCCTAAAGACATAAAGATGCTCTACCTAGGGACTTCCTGCTTTCACCGGACTCATTAGTTAAAAGATTTCTGCCATTGCGATAGTTTTATCATTTAGGTCAACCATTTTTATCGACGAGTCCAAAACAGGTTGTTTAGAAAGGTAACCTGCTAAGCCCTCCAGGTATGGTACACTTAAGAGCAGCGCCCATACATGTGTTTTACACCACTGAAAATCTTACCCATACAAATGTGTAACACCACTATATGAACTTTATTATGCTTTATTGGTCGGATCTGGCAGGGGATTGATACAGCAGTATTACAGCAAGATTAAAAAAAGACAGACTTCTAAAATAATCAGTTTCTTACTCAGAACCCTAGAAACTGATTCCTTTAGCTCCAGGATGGCCAGTCCTCTTGAAAAACTATCTTTGTTTCTACAGGACTCTCTTAAGAAACTAATGTCTTCAGGCTGGATAGCCAATCAGATCCACTAATCCACAGATCCACTGATCAGGTTAAACTACACTAAAGTACTAAGGTGTCTTGTTCCCCGGAACGTCAAATTGAGGAATGGACAGCTTGTACTTCTGCTAAGATAGAACAGATAGCTGTCTTTTAAATCCTGAGCAAAGCAAAAACTATTGTCAACATTTTCCCACTTGGCTGGTCTTTGGTTGGTTGTTGGTTGGTCCTTGGCTGGTCATTGGCTGGTCATTGGCTGGTCCCCTAAAATTCCTCTTTAAACATCAATCTTTGTACTAAAATATTCTTTCTGTCATGATTTGTGGACATAAAGATCTAAAGAGAAGTGCCATCTCCTGGCCAGACCCTGTAATTCAGTGAATGGGTGGAGTCAGAGTAAAATGATAAGGAAGCCCTGGAGAAGGCCACTGGTTGGAGGGGATTTTGCTGGGAGTTGCAGGGAAGTGGGCTGCCATTCGGCTGGCATTTGACTGGGAAGGGCTATTTTGAATGGTTGCTATTGTAAGTTTATTGATTACGTGTCGTTTATAAATTACAGTGGACTACAGTTAAAATAGTAATGAAACAAGGATAAACACTCGTATAAACATCATGGGAGTCTGGACTTCCTTTTATTGTTTTTTTATTTATTTCCAGGCTTTGCTGCAGACAGTGGACAGGGAGCAGAGGGAGATGGTGGAGCTGGATTCTGCCAAAGACTCTTTGCTGATTCTCTGTACTCCTGGAGGTCAAGATGCCCTCACACTTGAGGTCAGCCACCTCCATGAGCTGTGCTCCACCTCAGAGCAGGAAGTAAGTGAACGACTGCAGACCTGCAAAGGTCGGTTAGAGGAGATGGACCATGAGTTGGCCCGGGTGTCCCAGGAGCTGAAGGAGAGAGCAGCTGCGCTTCAATGGGAGCTCCGCTCTCTGGACCAGGCGTTTAGCTACAGTGAGCCGCAGAACAACATGGCTCAGCTTCAGCAGCATTGGCAGAGTCTGCAGGTAGCAGATCAATCTGTCATCATTAAAAACATTTCCTAAAATCCATTCAGACACATAGATTCATCTTCAGCTTTGCTAATAGTGACTCATGTCACCTTTTGTTTTCCTGACAGAACTGTGAGGACTCGCTGCAGGACTTGGGGGTCAAAGTTCATGATCTTTACCAAGAAGTAAAATCAGCAACCTTTACCAATGAGCTTCCTTCAGAGGTTATCAGTTTGGTTGCTTCTTTATGCCAGCAACATGCCAGGTACTCCTCTCATATTTCAGCAGAGCAATCATGATAAAGTTGTGGTAGAAACAGGTCAATTATGGATGTTTTTAGGTGAGGTTTCTACCCAGAACTACATTTCAGTGGCGTCTCAAATGGACGGAAAAGGCAGGGTTCACCCAGAAACATCACATCACAGGGCGACGTCAAACACAGGAACGATTAGTGATGAATAACCCTATCCCTAACTAACCAGGGATTATTATTAATAAAGTCTTTATAACAGAAATAACATTAGTATATAGATTTGGACATAAAATTATTCAAACTGAAATAAGGGTTCTGCATTTTTAACCCAGGCAAGAAAATCTTAAATAACAACACAAGAAGGATTTTATTGGTTCAATAAAACTAAAGTTTAAAGAATGGATTCTAATTCAACATTAAATTCAGAAAAATATAATACTAAGAATTGATCTACGACTCGTTCTTTTGTGAAAGATGGTTTAGCTGCTCTGCTGTGGTCCTTTGTTTCAGTTAATGTTCTGTTTGACTAAAAGCCAGAAATATGCGCAATACTGTAGGTTCCTCATCTCTAATACTTACACAGAAGTCATTTGCTTTAGTTATTTCTTATTATTTGAACCTTGAACACATATTTATTTATATTTGGAAATAATAATAATATATTCACATTTCCCTGCATTTACAGTCTGGAATGTAGGCTCAGTGACCACCAGGGGGCGTGCTCTACCAACACAGCTCATTATCTGAAGGACTGTATCTCTGCCATGCAGCGCTGGAGCCACAGCGACCTTTCAGGCTCAGCTTCTGCTCTGCAGGTTTAAATCATTTTCTATCAACCATAACCAATAGTCTGCTATCCAGTTACAGCTCCATTTCTGCTGTCATGCTCAATAGCATGTAATACACAAAACTGTTTATTTTTCTTTCTTTAAGGTTATTTTAGAAGAAAGTGAGAAGCTGCAAAACAATCTGCAAGAAGCTCTTTCTCATGAACAGTTTCTTACATACTGCCTGACAGCAGATTTGTTTGAGAAATTTAAGAAAGAGTGCTTAGAGACCCTCGGGAAAGTAGAAGTACACAAGGCCTTGCTAAGTCACAGATTGAAGGTAATGATATTACTTGATATTGTGTTTCTTTCCCTAAATAGAGAAAATAAAGTTCTCATAAGAACATGTTTTAAATAACTCTCTTCTCTGTTTCATTGGAGGACATTGAGCAGAAAGACAAACAGCTGCCTGATGATTCCACCTCAGATGTTAAACTGTTGGACACCAAAACTGCTGTTGTGGCGCCACCGCGTAAGAACAAGCGTCCCCATGAGAAGCAAAGTGTAGCAGATAAATCCACATCTTCTCTGGAAGAACTGTCAGTTGAGGAAATGCAGATAAAAGTGCAAACATGTGACGTCTTAAAACATCCCACCTGTGAAGAACCTTCACCACTACCACCAAGAAGAAAATCAAAGAGTTTTGGAAAAGAATCGGGTCCTAAAAAGATGGACTCTGAAGTGAAGAAAGCCATAGCAATCCACAGCACTGATGACACATGTAGAGAGCCACAGGCCAAGATAGAAGAAATCAGTAGTGAGGCCAGAAATCGAGCAGTACCCTCAGAGACAAATGATGCTGAATCAGAACCAGATCAGGAATGTCTGAAGAATGCTCCATCTGTTGTGGAGGCAGATACAGGTGCTGTGCATGATTCACAGTTTGTTCAGGACCACAATGATCCGTCTCTTATGGGACAACAAGAAGTTTTGCCTCCCAGACGGAAATCAAAGAGTCCAAAATTTACCCCCAAAAATCTGAACCAACAACCTGAGACCAGTAATGGAGAAGAATCCAAACTAGTACCAATCAGAAGAAAGTCAAAGTCTGCCACCCCACCCGTAACTTCTATACCAACTGCTATTGTTGGCAGTAGTACAGTGTCTGAACCTGAAGATAATAAGATCACACCTGTCAGCTCGGAATCTTCAGACATCCACATTGAAACAGAAACAAGAACAACCACCAATGCAGAGATAGATAAACCTCCAACCAATGGAAAATCAAAAAACAAACTATCGGAAATTACTGATAAAAACCAACCTAAGGCTGGTGTTACCAATCCACTACTTAGTTCTGAAGAGCAGCAACTTAATGTTGTTGGAAATGCTGCAGTTATACCAAGTGGGCAAATTTCAAAGAGCCTTGAAGATTCTGCAGCCCCTGAGCCGGTTTACTCTGCCAGTAGAATCCCAGGTGTGCACCCTAAGGGGACCCAACATGAAGCCCTGAGGTGCTCTGCCACAGAAACCTTTACAGTACAACAGAAAAGTAATGTTCTGCCACCCAAGAGAAAGTCAAAGAAAACAGAACCTTTTCTTGTACCTCCTCCTAAGACCGAGGATGAGCCTGAAGGTGGTAAACCTCCAGAGTTTTCAACTTCAGATGAGCACAAAGGATTAATTGAACCTTTCCAGATGGAAAAAGGAAAGACTTCATCAGCCACAAGGACCTCAGGAATCCTGGAACCATTGCAAGACCCCCGCGCTTCAGATGGAACAGAGATTGCAATTTTAACAGAAACAGTTAAGAGAGAATTTCCAAGTAGTGACCTTTCAGCAGCCGTCCAGTCTGTGACCCTTCTGGAGTCTTGTGAAACAAAGGAAGTACCTGAAAGTGTAGGAACTTCTGATCAGGAAGAGCATGGGTTCTCTCCAACCACAAGGTCAAATATTCCTGAAAACCTTAACAAGGAAGAAACAGTGGGCATGCAAAATGTTCAGATAACAAAAGGTGAAGATGTCTTACAAACCCAGTTAGCAGGTTCTGACAGTCTGCTTCTTCTAGGCCGACAGTTGGTCACACCATCAACTGAAACAAACTTCTCACTTTTGCCTGAGACCACAGAGAAATCCAAATCTCCAAGTTTCAAAGAGCAGGTAGCCATTGTTGATGCAAACAAGGCTGACATTACATCAACTATACTTACAGAATATGATAATCGGGAAACTCAAAGTGAAGAGCAAGTTTTAGTGGAAGATGGACAGGCTGAAATATTAGCAAGCGTGTCCATTAAATCTTTAGCAAACAACGAAAAGTCAAAGAATGGGAAGCTTTCTGTTGAAAACCTTAATAATGATACAATTCCAACAAATGTTGAGTGTAATAATAAAAGCTCAATCCAACCTTCCACTGAGCAAACAGATTTTATGTTGGTAATAACTGACCCTGGTCAAACAAGGGAAGACCCTAAAAGAGCTGAGCCCTCAGCAGTTCTGGATTCACAATATAATCCTGAAACAAACGCCGATATAGTCACTAATGAAGCTAAAAATGAGCATGACGGTGCTAAACCAACCACAGCTATGATGTTCCTTACAACCAAGACAGAAAAGGATGGCGTGGACAGTAAAACTACTACAGAAGATCTAAACTCAGAAAATGAAGATGTTTTCCAAGACCAGAATCAACAAGAAATTCCTACAGTTGTGCCTCAAAACCTGGAGAAAGAATCTTCAGCCCTCTCAGTAGTACCCTACAAAACTTGCAAACCACGATTACAGATTTTAGAGAAGACCGTGACAGATGCTTCACGGCAAACAGATGCCCAATGTTCAGAAGTAGACTTGGACAGCACTTCCAGAGAGCAGTTCTCTACTCCCTCTGACTCTACAGATGGTTCTACGGCCGCACAGTTACAGCTTATGGATGAATGGTCTGGTGGTTTGCAGGCAAATGAAACAGAAAAGGAGCCTAATACAGCGAGAGCCTCTTACACCCAACAACCAGATGCACCAACAACCAATCAGGTGAAATGTGACTTATTCACAACACCAGCAAGTCCCCTAGTTGCCCGAGTCCCTCCGAAAAAAGAGGAACTAATGGACATGAAAGCATCAGAGAGTCAGATAACAGAAGAGGCTGCTGGGGAGCTTCCAGCTTCAGTGATAAATGAACAAAGTCCAGACTCATCAATAAATCTGAAGAAATGTGATGAAACTGAACCACCAAGTCAATGTGGAGAAGCAACATTTGCAGCACAGGAGGACCAAGTGCAAGGGGCTGCAGAAAAGGACAAAGTAGAACCTTTTACTGCTGTAGTGGAACTAGAACCTTATATGTCAACCAAACAAGAGATAGAAAGTCCTGAGGACTTGGATGGAATTAAGGCATCCATCACTAGCCAAGTAATCACTGCAAAGACAGAGCATGACGATGCAGACAATCAATCTGTTATAGAACAATTCAGTGAACTAGGCAAGAAAAATGAAATC